ACCTTCTAAAAATGTGATACATGAAATATTGAAAGTATAACTTTCATTTATAATTAGTAGATCTCAAAAAGTGTTTTCTGGTCGTTGATAGTTGCATGTATTCATCCACAATCGTAAGAATTTCCTTTAAACATTTTGAAGAAATTACATTTTTCTTCCTTTTGAAGGACATCATTTTCTTTTGAAATAAAAATGAAAAGTATGTTTTTTGCTGCTCAATGTAGAAAAGTTACTAAAACGTATTTATAAGCTATTCAGTAAACTATATGTAATAAAACAATGATACGCAAGAATCACACATATGGCCTTCATAGCACTTTATACGACTAAATTTTTTCATGTACGTTCTTTTCTGTCAACTTTTTCTTCTCTTCGTAAGAAAAAAGTAAATTACAATATTTAGTGTGCCATTTGTTGGCAATCTGAAAACAAGATGTGAGGAAGAAATTAATGTTAAATTGTTGAAGATATCAAGGCAGTCTGAATACATGATATGATTTTCCAAAAAAAGAAAATGTTTAACTCATTCTATAAAAAGTAGGAATTGAAAATGATTACTTTATAAAATTCACACTTTAATTTTTTGATTATGATGAATTTTTTATTTTATAAATAGCTCATTTCAGAATTATTTGAATTGGTGAATGAATTTAACATGATCTGTAAACCTACCTGTCCCTTCAAAAATCTGATGAAATATTCAAATCAATAAAATGACAGAAGTAATATGCTAAACAACTGCATTTTCAAATAATATTTGATACTTTTTGTATCATAAACAAGCAAACATTTTCATACAAATAACAATTATTTAAGAAATTAAAGTTTTATTCATTATTAAAGTTCAAAATCGTTGTAAGATTTAACAACAAAATTAATCGCAAAAACCATACTATTGAGTGATAAAAAAAATCAAAATTAGTTTGCCAATATTAAAGACAAGTAACATCATATTGAAGTAGATAATAAAATATAAATAAAAATTCAGATGTTTAAATAAAATGAAATACTAAAATGATAGTTTAGACAATAAATTATAAGAGGTACTGATAATTTCCTTTTAAAATATTTAAATCAAACAACACTGACAGCAGGAAACAGTCTAATCTCCCACACAGGACAGTTACTTCACTTTAGCTAATTTTCTTTCTTTAACACCTTCACAAATATTACGAAACCAGTGATTAAATATTTTTTGTTAATATTTTATCGCACTTAGAAGAAACACGAGAATTGTTGGAGATGGTCTCATAATTTGTAGTCTCGATTAAGTGACGAGGGCGACATCTGATCTAGCATCCTTCCTGCAAATTACCGCTGCATTGCAACGGAACAAAATTTATCAAGTCAAATTTATCAATAATTACTATCGAGGAGAATAAAAATAAATATGGATTTGAATTTGAATTGTGAATTGATTGATTTATTGTTTATTAATGTTGCACTTATAAGCAATACGATGCTAATGGTGACGGACCTGGTAATTTTGAGCCTCGGTCAAGTGAGAAAGACGAATCTAAGCTGGCAAACCCTCTCCAAATTTCCCCTCCACGTTTGAGGGAGAACTTGAGACCTCAAGAACCTTCGGCTTCCCTGCACAAGCGTGTCTTAGTTGCATCAGGAATCGAATCCTTGACTCAACGAAAACAGCATCGGCCGCGAGATTGGCATAGATTCTAAAAAGGAGAAAATATTGCGAGACTGTTTGAAAAGTAATGGCTCGATAGTTATAACAGGATTTTTTTTGCACAATTTTCCAAATGTTTGCTATACCTAGTAGTTATGTAATGTATTTATTTATTTTTTCTCAGGTGTCATTCGTTCGTATGTCTAGAACTAAAGAAGAGGATGACTGACTTGGAGATAAGGTTCAGGCAGCAAGGCATCGCTGCTCCCGACTTTGGCCCTCGAGATTTTCTCCTCTATCTAAAAGGCAAAAAGCACTAAAATTTACATCACTTTCTAATAAAAAAGGTGAAATCAGCCATTAAAACCTTGGATCGATAAAAAAAAAACCTCGGTATTTTTTCTCCGACTGGTTTGTTCGACTAATTACGATTTTGGAGCAAGTACGTAAAATGTAATGGAGACTGTCTCAAAAAGTGAAGAAAGCATTACATGAGAAGACGAGTAGCTTTCAGAAAAACAAAAACTGAAAAAAACAAAGGTGATATTTCAAAGAAAAGAACAGTTATGGTGATATTTCAATGAAACTTGATACTAAATGCAGCTTCTGCAATATTTGTGTAGTAACGATTTGTGAAGTTTGCGATATTAAGATATGGGATAAAAAGAAGAGAATAATTTAGTAATTATTCCAAATTTGAATATTTGATGTTCTGTTTAAACAAAATTAAGAATCATCACTAAAATATAACTGTAGTTATTTTTGATAATGCATTACTATTTCAAGCCTGTAAACACATGTTTATTCCTTTTTATGCAGAAAAAATTAATGATATTACGACGGGTTTTTCAGCCACACTATGGAATGTGTGTTCTATCCAGTGAATAAAAAAAAGAGATCGGTTGACCGTGAGTGACAGATTATTCAAGGCCTCCATCTTTAAGTCGAGAGAAAATTCGTCTGGTTTTATTTTGTTGTACCCTTAATTAAAGGCCAAATATTAGTCGGGTTTAGTTATAAACATGAGTTAACAACTGTCGGTTAACATAAGATACCATTGGTTTTGAAGAGAACCGCCAACATATTCGTCCTCAAGTATCATCGCGATGATATGCAGAGGAAAATTCTCAACGAAAATTTCTTAGGAGGTTGTTTTTTTCTCCATTACAGAATTCATGAAAGTCCTTTAACTGTTAAATTAAGATTCGTTTGACACCATCGACTGTCCCTAGTCGATATAGTGGGTCAATTTTATGCATGCGCTGAAGCTTGAACATCACCTGTCATGATATATAAGAGGACGTCTTAGTTAGACACATAGAGGCAAGTTTTTGCGTTGTAGGTATGTGCGAACTTATATGCAAGCTTTGCTGCTACTAGTATTTATGTCCTGGCTCACTTAAGCGAATTGTATATTAAAACAGCCACTATTAGGGGATGATTTTTCTTCCCCAAGTCGGGAAAAGACAGTTGATTTAGAGTGACGGGGATGATTCCAAACCTGGATATGCAAATAAGAGTAAACGTGTCCAATATCGTTTTGAGTTCTCTTAAGAACTAAGCAGTAAAGGATTCCACATCGAGTTAGTAACTAAAGCAGTTTAAATTCTAACGTCGCTGGGGGTGAGAAAATCTCTCTGCAACATAAAAATAATTTTCCAGCGCATTCTTTTTCTTTCAATATTAAAAGTCTATAACATGTTTTAATTTCAAATTTTGAATTAAATATCTGAAAGGAATTTTACTATAAGATATCAAAATATTTAATTATATTTGATTTTAAGTTAGGCAAAAATAATGAGGAAATATCAGATTATTTGTAATTTAAAAACTTTTATATGTAAACTTAAAATGTATGATTTTCACGCTTTAAAAACTATTTTTCTCGGAATAAATTCACGGGATCCAATTAATATACGCAGTCAATCTTAATTACCTAATATATTCAGCTTTTTAATGACTTGGGAATTTTTCTTTGAAGATAAAGATACTTTTTTTGTATGAATATAAAACATTAACTTTTTATCCAAAATATTTTTTTCAGTATCGATAGGTCCAGCCAAGTCCTTGATTATCTTTAAGTGCAGAAAAACTAGTTATCTTTCCTTTTTAAATTATTTTCAATTATAACAATCATTATTGTTAATCGATTCAATACAGAAAAAAAGTAAAACTATTTGGTGAGATGTATTGTAGGGCGCGCATATTTTTTATAAAACTAACTTTCAACAGTTTAAAAAACTGATATTGTTATTTTTATTCTAATTACTTAGTTTAAATATTTAAATTTCATTAGAACTTTTTGCTGTTTCATGATAGCATTATTAGTCAAATTATTTTTAAAAAATTATTCGAAGTACTTACATTAATTAGGAATTTAAGAATTATAATAGTTAAATGTATTTCGCTTTTCTATAAATTTAAAGATTTGCATAATTTTTAATCATTTTCAAATTTGAGGGAGTATTTCTAAAAAAAAAATATTAATTATACTATGGATGAGTTCATGACAAAAATGTAAATTATATGTTTTAGTATAATGAATCTTTTTAAATGAAAGGTTTTTTATTTAAATAACGGATAAAAATTGCATTACTTATTACATTACATTAGTGAAAAAACTTTCTTATTGAAAAATAATTTATAAATTGAAAATATGCATAACATGTAGAATATGTTTCCAATTATCTATATGAATTTTAATCGAAAATATTTTACCGACACTTATTTAATACTTCTAATATTTGGAATTAGACTGTCAACATTCATATTTAAACTGTATTATTATTTCAATGGATGCAAAATTATTTAGCAGAAAAATAGTAAATTATTATTATGTTTGTTTAAAAACGTTAAAATATTTTTACTTTAGGAATCTATGACACAGTAGCAAATTGAAAATTTAATTAATGTAAAAATTTTCAATGTAAGCAAATCCATTCAATATTACATTTTTTTCTTCTTTATCTGAGAGCTGACGCACAAAATATTCTCTACCATTCTGCATCATACTCTTTTGAATTTGAAATAATTTTTGAGATCTAGCAACAGTTTTTTGATATTACGCAATAGACAATTATCCTCAAATTATGGAATTCATCGTAGTGATTGCGTTATTGGAGTGTCTAGCCCTGATGGGCTTTAATCTCCGGTTTGAAATTTATTAAGCTTGATTACTTTAAGTGTCCAGTGCAATTAAGTACATTGAGATTTTTAATAATTAAATGATTTTAAACTTACTCAGTTAAGAGAAAAATTGAAAAAGTAAAGTGAAGCTTAAGTTTATCATTAGAAAATATCTATAGGTGCTGAGAAATATAGAGTTTACATGAGAGTGGTAGGGGAATACAAGGTGGAAAAGAAAAATGATGCCAACGGCACGCGATGTTCCCAGGTAGACACCCTCCCAAGTACTGACAGCGCCAGATGATGCTTAACTTCGGTGGGCGGAAGAGAAGCGTTGTTTTCAGCATGGTATGGCCGCTGGCTATGGAATTTTTGGTACCAAGCTTTTAAAGCAGCATACATGCTTATACTTTATATAAGTACTTCACATTCCCTATTTTGTATGAAATGTCTGTAGATGAGTAGAAACTTGGTACGGATTTTATTTTTTGTTTTTGTTTTCTGCAATTACTTTTGTCAATAAGTCATTTGTAACATCGAAATATTGCTTTCGGCCTCTGTCTTTATTAACTATATAAATAGCCATCAAACACAGTATTTTAATGAACAAAAAGTTATACAGAGGTGGTATTAAGTTATTTATTTCAGATCTGGTAAAGATGAAAATATATAACAATCTATATCTGTGATAAAGGTTTCTTTATATTACTGTCAATTACTTGATGTTTTGCTGTCAAAATTTAGAACTCGTTTTACCAAACCTATTGCACTCGAATTTTTGGAGTATTCGTAAATGAGGATTCGAACCCTTAGCCCTCAGTAGATCCTCTTTATGTTCACTCCTAAGACTCCTTACTCAATGCATAAATGACACATAGGTCTCACATTGATAACTTCTGCTCACTATCTCTACCACTAACTAAACAGAAAAAATATCGTTTTGAGCCCTTCAATGCTTATGAGTGCATCTCTACAATTCTATTTCAGTACACTTCAGTAATTCTAATCTCATCTACATAAGCCATGTATCACTAATTGATAAGTTTTTTACTTTAAGCAAAATCGGATTAAAAATTCTCAAAGTGTTAGATAAAAAAAAAAAAAAACAATTGTGGGAGAGTTCTGAAATACATTTTTTGAAAAATTAATTATATTGTCATATATTTTTTTTTAATATTTATACTTTAATCCTTTTTTGAAAAAAAAAAGAACTCTAACTTTGAAATAATCTGACTATTGAAAAAGTCATAATCAAATGAAAGTAAATGTGTACTTGACACATTTTAGTTAATTAACATTAGCATCATACTATAAAGGAAGAAAGAATTGGTGCTCATTATAAAGATTGGTTATCTTCAAGAAGGATGTTATTAGTTATACAAATATATATGAAAAAATATTTTATTTAGCCATACCTTACCTTAGAACATACATCACACTAATTTGAAAGGCATGTATACAATATCAAGATCCGCCGATTCTCTTTTTGACGCAGATACTTGAAAGGGTATGTCAACCATGTCAAATTCAATAAACGATGTTAAAATAAACGAGTGGATATGTAAGGCACTATTTATTACTAAGATATAACAAAGATATCCGGATAAAGTTTATATTTCACATTGATTCTTAAATACATAATATTTTAAACTACAGATATTATTGTTAATATGTTTCGTTTCTGGAAATCATAGATTAAAGTAAGCCATAATGAATAAAATTCAATCTGCTACGTTTTACGATGACAACATTCGGAGGGTCAAGGAACGCTGTGAGAAATGTGTAACTTTAAATGGTGACTATATAATGAAATCTTAAATTCAAGTTTATTTGTCGATTAGATTTCATTATTAATAAAATATATTACAATACTCTTGGGTAATATTTAAAACTTCACGAAACTGCGAATTACTTCAATTAATGTTGATTCCAAACAAATCAACATTAGCAGCTGTAACTTAGAGCATTATGTACAAAAGAACAAATTAATATGATTTTATCCAGATATCTTTAATATTTCTCAGCAATTATCAAAATTTTATGATACTTTCTCTTTACTTTTCATAAGGACAGATTTATTTGCTAAAAATGTTAGAAAAAGAAACACATTCCAGAATTATCGCTGTTTTTCCAATCACTCATCCGTTATCTTCTTCTAATGTATGGGGAATCTTGTTCTCGATGTTAACTTTCAGTATAGAACGAGAGAAAACTTTAATTATTTTGGATCTATCAAGAGATTTATTGGCTTTCCGAAGTGTAAATAACTGCTGTCACCATAAACATACATATTGAAATAGTTTCACATGAAGTTTATGAATATTTTCATACCAGACTGACAGTAATTCCACATTTAAACTGGTTAACTGGTTCCCCAGTAACTTCGTATTAAACGAGACGCATAAAATAGTTATTTTGTTCTAAAATTGCAATTGCGTTTGATTATCAACACAAAGAAAACACGAAATTAGAATGTTTTATATACATCAGATAATTCATGTCACTTAATAAAAAGTTTTAGTAGCTATTAATGAGATTATCCACATTCCTCTACTGATAGATTTTCTCCAATAAAAAAATATGTTTGTTAATTTTGTGTGTGTAAACTTAGATCTTCTACAAATTTGTAACATTTTAAATTTTCGACATTCTAGTACAAGAAGGAAATAAGTATAAAGTATACACCAGTGAGGTAAAAAATATTCATTCAGAGATGGAGCTCATAATTTTGAACCTAGATCAAATGACGAGGACGAGGCCTGACTCATTCTTCAACTGACACATTCTTCTGAAAATATCTACACATTGCCAATCGAAGCACTTGGAGCCTCGACAAATTTAAAGGAGATTAGTCCCCTTGCACATCGGATCTTTAGTAACATGAGGTCTCGAGCCCATGACTCGATGAAAAACAACGTCGGCTCGAGCTCATTATTAAGACATCTGGGTTAACGCGGACACACTTTTCTCTCAAAATAATTATCGTTCCGAAAATAAAGAATGCTACAGAAAAAATTATCGGTCATTCTTAGAAATTATTACTAACATTCGATCTCCAAATAATAATGTGATAAATTCCCATAAATTACTCACCTTAATAGGCTAAAATCCGGCTATTAATAATAATAATAAATGATTAATCGCATTGACCGTATCACATACATGTAAATAACAAATAAATTTCATCTATTCAAACGGTCGTAGAGCCAGTTTTAAAGTTCTCAGCGAAACATGATTTCCTTAGTATTATATACCAGCAATGCGCTCTGGAAAAAATTTAAAAAAAAACATTGTTGCAATTGTTCTCAATAGGTAGTGCTGTGCTGCAATCTTTTCCAGATATGTTGTTCAATAAATCAAAGAAAACGTTTTTTTATTGTTTTTAAAATTAAAGTTCGTTCATTAAGAAAGTTCAATAACCCTATATATGGTTTCAAAATCCACAAGAGACAAAGCGAGAAGGAGGGGAGAAAATGTTGTGTGTAAAAATGCAATCTGTGTCAACAAGCAAAAATAAAAAAACAGTCACTATAGTGACAAATAAACTGGAACCGTATCACGAATGCTCAATGAAATAATCCTACCATTTTATCACTCTTACTTAATACAATAGAACTTGATGAATAGCGTTAGGTTATTTTTCTTTCCAAAATTCGACATTTGTTTGTGTTCACTTGTCTGTTTAAATAAAAATACGCTTCGTCGATCTGCAGAATATATATTTTAGGGAAATATAGCTATCCGCATTCACTTGTGCAATGCATCGTTGTGCAAACTTTGTCAAAGTATCTGTATCATCTTGTAGTAGCCGTTGTACTACTTACATGAAAAGTAGCACTATATGTTACGCATCATTTATCTCACCGGGGAAATCGGCATGTCTGCTTCTTTTGCAATAGGTGACAAATTTGCATTTCTATAAGGCAATTGCCTTGACAAATCAATTGCAGCATTAGCAGCGATACAATTGTTCTCTTTTTTTCCCCATTTTTGGATAAAATAATTTTACGATAAAAGCATCTTCTTTCAAAGTTAACATTTTTCACAAAATATTTTAATGTTTTTCATCAATAATAAACTTGTTCTGTATCTTGTTTTGAATCTCAAGTTAAATTATATGAAGCGTATTCAAAGGTTTTGAATTTCTGAAATTACTGCCACCACGTAGTTCGGCAAAGATTTGAATAAAAGAGGAATCTTTTTCCTTGTATTTAATGAAATGTTATAAAACCATTGAATGTACAAGAGATTAATGAATTATGCTTTGTAATGTTTGCAGGTGAATTAGATTTCTACCAGAATAATGTGATGTAAGTATACATTCAATTAACTTATGTAACATGTTAAAAACATCTATTGCTTGAGTGTTTAACTATATAAATATTAATTCACATGTTTAAAAATATGCACTAATTTGATAAATATCCGTGGTAGAAAAAAATTATGCAATTTACGTATTACACAATAAAGCTTGCGAATCAATATAATTTTGAGACAAAATTAATCTTCTAATATTTCATACGAGATATTTCGCAATAAGTTAAATGGAAATTCTACAAAATGTTACATCGATTCAAATATTCATTATATCGAGTATGAACCATCATTGAAAGAAATATCATACGAGTATTCATGCAAAAATTACATTATTTATTCTGTCGCAAACATTACTTATATAACTTTAAATACTTTTATCGCATGTTGATATTCAGTATTCAAATAAATCTTTGGATTTAGTTAATCACAGTTACAATAACATAAAAAAACAATAAAACTAAAATTAAAATTTAAATAAAAATCACTTTAACATTGTTTTGATAAATATAACAGTCAAAAGTAAAAGACCCTGTGTTTCATTATTTTTCATTCCAATACAAACCTTGTATTTTGAAATCATTATCAAACTAAAGGAATATTAAGGGTAAACTGCAAATAATAACAAAATGTTTCAGACAACTGGATTGTTTTGCGTTCAAAGTTTCGTACAAAATCTTTCTTTTAAATTTCAAGAATCCAAACCATTACATCAAATATTGTTTTGTATTTATTTTCTTTCTTTAAAAAGTAATGAAATCTCCCAAATATGTTTTCTCTTTTTCTTATTTGAGTGTTGCTTCTTAAGAACAGAGGGATGCTTATTTAAATACGTATAACGATCGTTTCAAAAGAAATCGAGAACAAGACTTCATTAAGATCTTGTTTCTAGGAAGCTTCAAAATTTGTTCTTTATTATTTTGTTGTCAATATATTATGCATTATTTTTCGGGAAATAGAATTAAGTATTTTTTCTAAAACTGTCTTAGAACATATATTGCGTTATCATTTTAACGTTGAGTGCTACATTTTCTTGAAACACACC